TTTTCGTCCTGTCTAAACTTATCCTATGGCCTCCAATGGTCAATCATGCAGAGTTCTTTTCTGTGGATCCGCTCTCCTTTTGCATCAGTCGACTTTCTCCCGAACTAAGCTGCCTGGACAGTATCTCCATCTGGAACGGTAATTTGCAAGGTCTTCCCACTGCTCCTTATTAATATCTATGGCTTTTACGTCCCTCTTGCAGACATCTTTCAACCACATCTGTGGCCGCCTGGCGTTTCTCTCTCCTGACACTTAGCGTGAGAGTCGTGAATACCGTGTATGTGACAGGGAGCCTTTGATGTAGATGGCACCCTTTGTCTTCCTCCTTTCACTACAACTATCATTATCTGCTGTTCTAGCGTCTGCAGATAAAGTAGCCGCGTTTTCAAAGTGAGTAGAGCCTAGGTCTCCGCATCGTATGGCGCCAACGTTAAAATCGTGTTTTTCTAGATATTAGGGGCATTGTTCTTTTCTAAGATTGCCCTATAGGCTGCAGAATACAGACGAGTCCATTATATATATATTCACAATTGTTTCTAGACAGGAAAACACTATTTCTCACGAACACTTGACTGCGGAAGACGTTTTACGAATAGCTTTAATTTTGTTGTTACCTAAGGGTAGTAATTCTCGTAAGATAACCTTTAAGAACGACCGGTGTATCCAGTGATTTGATCGCTGTGTAGGCATGGAAATGCCTTCTGGAATAACTCAGAAGTAATAATCCACTTGTCAGGGGAACGAGTGATGACACGGTGGGCATCACCGGTAGGCAGCACTGCTTTACCGGGTACGATAACTATAATCCACCCGATACATATCCTTTAATGACAGTTTGCCGGCAGGTAGATCTTGTGAATAGTTTACAGTTGGGGCATTCAGCTTTACAGTTGGGGTATTCGTCGGTATCAAAAGTTACTACAGGATAAGACCTTCGCCCTGTGTAAAAGCCAATCGGATATTTCAACTGATCTTTCCGACTTTCGCGTCGAACCAACCTTTATAATACCGGAAATCATAAGAAAACCAGACAGCATATGCAGATTCGGTGACACATATTATAAAGCTCCAGTAGTAATATCACTCCTCAAAAGGTTTGTTAAGCAGTGCGGAAGTCGTTATCGATGTGCTTTATGCAGACGCGTCACCTCCAAAGCTGCTTGATGCATCATCTGTCGGCAATCTGGTCTGAAATCTGTAGTTTGTCGCCGGAAAGACAGGCTGTGAAATCATGTGAGCAAATGGCAGATGGAAAGTGTTCTTCAAAATAGGTTCACGGTTGCTGATTTCAGCACATTTTGCGAGTCTAAAGCGCTGTGCTACATGCAGGGCACGTCCATACAGGCTTAACTTCATCCAGACAGACTCTGACAGTTTGGCAATCTGCCATCTTGCCGTGTGGCAATTTTTCTTCAATATGTTTTCCTTAAAGTAGAACTAAGACATCCGTTGGGCAATGACTCTAGATTTTACGTTGCTATGTGCAGATTAGGATTATGTTAATCTGCACTCGGAAGGACAAAATTTGTGCGTCCTGTTTGCATACTGTGTCTACTAGGAAACTGACTAAGATACACATTTATACAATCTAAACAAAACGGTACCGAAATTTAATTTAGTGGTCTCTTTGTGTATAGTTTACAAGTCATGCAGTATACAATCATGTTCGAACTGTATGCGCCAAGTGTAACTGCGGGTGCAAGCATAGCATTGACGCTCTGTGATCAATATATATAACATCAACAGCACGATCTAGTCAACAAATCAAAATGCTATACATCTAGCCAGGCCACCTTAGACCCAAAGAAGAGCATCGCTGTGGTCAAACATGATATACAAAGGCGGTTAGCGAATACCTTGACATTTCATTGATTCATTAAGTTTTAAATGGAAATCTAGAGCAGGGATTGATAGCGGGACACGCTTGAGGTTCTGCGGGGAGATGCAGATTGCCTTTTGATGAGTACGTAAAAGTGGGTGATTACCTATTAAGGGAGAAGTACTAGATTCTGGTCACCAATTTTACGACGTAGGCACATCCATCCATCCGCAAGCTTGACCACTATAAGATAATAGCTTGAGTTATCGACATCGATTGCTTTGCCATTTAAACATAAGACCGTAACTTGTACAAATCGATAGATAAGAGATAAGATAAACAAGAACTATATATAGGTTGTGGGTGTTAGCACGCTTTTGCATTCTTTAGTGCACCGATGGTATTTATGCTTCTAACTTTGTTCAACCTGTTCACAGCCTATCTTTTTCGTGTTGTCGGCAAAAAATCGTCTTCAATTGCCCATCTGGTCCCCTTTCTGGCAATTTTGAACTTAACTTTGAACTGAGATGATTTACAGATAAAACCAATGCGGGACACTGGGTGCGTTTATAAATCATCAAGTTTTCTTTTTTGTAATGATGTTACAGTAGAAAACAAATGCTCAATGACACATTAAATCCCCGAATGTGCTGAGAGACAGAATGAAGGACCTCTCTATCAGTAATCGTTAATATCTAAGCAATAAATTTAGAAATGTGATTTCCGGATGGAATTGGGCTTGTATCTCGACAAAGCTCCTATATCCTATAAGCCACCTCTACTTCACAGCAGCTAGATACATTTGACACATTGAATTGAGTTTAGAAGTATGAAATACGACGGTCGTGCTGCGGTTGTTAATGGTGACCTGGTATCACCCCATCCCAGTGTTACCTGAAAAGTTATGCATGTGCCCTCATAGGACCGCAGCCAGTGTGTCTACGTCGCCCTGGGTTAGTCTCTGTAAACCATTCCCTTATGGGAAACTTTGCCAGTGGATTAGGCAAGCTTTAACTAAGCCATGAGACAAATGTGAAGCCAGGGGCCCGTCTTAAGTCCTTGCTGTGGCTATCTATTGTAAATCGTTTTGCTGCAAAGTTGTTGGGCTAAGAGCTGAATTATAATAAGCTACTGAGTACGTATATGGTTCAGGGGCCTGTTACCAGCTACAGCGCGTTGGATACTAGTATTCTGTTATGTAAGACCACAAATATACCATATAATGTGCACCTGAGGCGCGGAGAAGAAAGCTAAGCATTTGAGTACTTTACTCTAGACTAACGTTTGATTCCCCTTGAACGTTTGTACGTGTCGCTTCTATCAAGTTATCTCTGCATTGCAAGTTTTCCCAAGTCTACAATTATGTCGAATGCGTCACAGGAAGAAGTAGTGGTGAAATTCCGCAATCTAAAACCCGAGGACGAAGTTGTATCTGGAAAATCCACCAATCCCACGAGTGTAGCTCCAAGGTGAAACCAATTTACTACAGATTCCCGAAGGTCGAAGGTGACTCCAGTTACCGCAGCGATCTGATACGTTGGGACGCTGAACCATCGATACACATCATGTCTTACTGTTGTGCCTTCTGGCTTGTGCAAGCAACTTTTAGACCTGGCTGGACGAAGACTATTCAGGGTTGCACTCAGTACTAGTGTATGTGTAGATCACGTGTAGCTTATTGAGCATGTAGTCAATGAAAATTCAGTCTACAGATGAGCAGAACCTACCGCATACCGAGCGTTGATTAGACTGACATTTCCAGGGAAACAATTGTATGATCTTACCTGTTCATCATTTAGATATACAGCAGAGGGAACTGCAATCAAGAACCTATGTTATGCAGAATCAGATTTGTCACTCAACAGCACCATGAATTGCTTTGATCTGTTTACAAGATGTGTCCAAAGATAGACTGTGAAATCCAATAAAGAGACGGGGGCGGATTTCCAATCTAATAAGCATCATTCCCTGGAGTCACAGCCACAAAGAAGTAGTGTAATTATAAATGGATTAATAAGGAATTGTGTTGTTTGGGACAATATTTCAGTAGCCCACAAAGGGTAAAACAGGAGGAGTTCCTAATCCATTTTCTCATAAACGCAGTAGTTAAATCAATGAATAAAGATGATGCAACGATAATTTTGTCTTTTTTCTCATTCTTTAAAGTTGCCAGAAAGTCCGCTAAGCTGGAAGCAAACGGGATGAAACAGTACAGGACTGGCATAAATAAACACTAATATCTTATAAAAATTGGTGTCTTGAAGGAGGTTTATGATGCATACTTGAGTTGACGCGTGTCGCATGTTGCACTTTTGCCTACCTTTTCTTGCAGTGTACATGGCGCATATGCAGCGGTTGCTTCAACCCATTGGTTGCGCTAATTCAAGTCAGTCTAAACATCTATCACTACGACGAATATGCTTCTTATGAACATCATATATGGGTACCGTAGGTGATGCAAAATTTGTCATAACTGCTGTGGTGCCCCAAAGACCACCAGATTAGCAAACAGCCAGGCCTCAACCAACACAGCGACTTGATGAAACCTCATTAATGTTTCATGGAGTTTCGGCGGCAGACGAAAACGCAGCTGTTGTCCTTGATACTAACAAGGACATGAATCGTTAAAACAGAGATAGATGAAAGTGTATGATACTGGTGAGACTTAATGTGAAGACGAAGTACCATTATAACAGCTCTAAATTTTTACCTTAGGGAACGGTTCTAATTACCATTAAAGATACATTTCATGATACTTAATTGACTATGTTTTTCTCACAGGAAGGAGAATACAGATTAAAAAAAAGACTTTTAGTACATCCCAAGTAACAAGAACGTGAATCTTACCTTTTAATTACCATAAAGACGCATTTGAAGCTATTTTAATTACTTTTTCCCTCAAACTCAAAGGAGCTGATCAAAAAACAGTATTTTTGTACAGTCCATGACAAAGGCGTTGTGATCCTTACCTGTCGGTAGTTTTTCGTCCTTGGCAGTCTTCGCGACCTTACAGACAGTTCCTAAGACCTCGCAGCTATGTCAGTGAAGAGCGCCGTATCTGCCTTAGTTGTCTCTTAGCTAACGTCTTCACGTCGAGAGGATCTCGCTTCCGATCTTGGTAATTTCCGTTGCTCGGCCCGCTCGTATTGATTGTCGACCTGCAACGGCAGGGCGTGTGATCAGTCTAAGCCTGGACACACTGATAAGACTATTACAAGCCTCCGGTCTTACCGCCAGACACTGCAGGCTGTCATTCTGACGGTGTAACAAATTCACAGACACTCGCCGACGGTCTAGATTTGACTTTTGTTACACACACGGCAATTTGGAGGGGATGGCTCTACATAAAGGGAAGTCAACTGGGGCTAAACAGTTCCCGACAAAGCCCGGCGGGCTTAGCATAACTATTTTCCATCGGCGCCAGACATTCATAAAAGCAAAGTCCGCTTGAAATAGAAATCCTGCGACCTTTTGCTGACATTGCCGGCGCTCGTGAAACAGCGTGCCCGGGTGAGACGGCACGACCGGACGGGCGAGGCGGCACAACTTACGGCCTGTTATAAACCCCGGGCCCGGCTGTGACGTCCAACTCCACTTATCTACCAATCACGGCAAACCCACGTGACCTCAGCAGAAATTGGAACTAATAATGCCAGCTGTATAATCATACTTGCAAAACGACCACCATTCCAAGGGCTCATCAATCTTAAGAAACACATATTCGTTCGACGTATTCCATGTAATATATCCTGAAATTTTCCCTTCCGAACTCCGTTATTAGGGGATGGCCTGGCATTCATAATAATTTCATAATTGAAAGCACAGATCCAATGAGTTAACAATATTCAACATTAATAGGAAAGTAAGTGCGTATTAAGAATAAGCTGTACGTAAGACGACAATAGTCTGTGTATGACAGGAGAACAGATGTTTGAAGCAGATGTGAGTTCAGTAATCTCATATATTTATTACAGCAACCGAGCAATACGGACATTACATGTACCACCTGGGTCTTCTCTGTCACGCGGAATTCATGACTCTACAGGGAGCTACACGTGCAGTAGTTATAGGGTTATATTTGTTACAAAATGGGCCATTAAATTTTGACATGTGAAGAGGATGGCATAAAATATGCTATCGTCTTCTGATAAAGACACAATTACATTATTACGCTTCTGGCGGATTGGGAGCCCTTACGCTGCACACTGGCGTGCATTTACCTAGTCATATGAAATATATGCTCTTACCCTAAATGGGTTATATAGACAAGAAAATTCCTATGCTAGTTCAGAAGAGAAAGCCCATAAATGCCAATGGCTGTGTAAAAGTCCGCGCACGTACCGCATTAGGCTGCTCGGCACGTTTCGCTTCAACTCTCTAACAGGTTAAGCACCTAAAGTAGCGAATAACTACCGTTAGAAATAGAAATGTGCAGTCTTTATCTTGGAGTTACCACTAAAGCCCCAAGAAATTTCGCGCTTTAGTTGTAAAAGACAGACCCTGTACCGTTAATACAAAGCCGTTGAATGATTCGCATTGAAGCTTATGTTAAATGATGTATGTACAATTAATGAACGTTTATCAAATCAGCCAAATCCCCTGTTTATTTCCTAAAGTACATTTTGAGGATTGCTCGAGGATTCACTTTGTTTAAAATCTCATTGTCTTTAATGATCAATCATTATCCTTATAGTCAATGACAACACACAACCCTTTATCAGATGGTGGCTTTGGAGCCAAATATGCACGATTGGGTGCCAGAAGTTGTTACATGTATCATCACTAGTTGACGTTCAAATTGCTTATCATCGAAGTTATTACATTGTGCAAGGCGTATAGTGTTGAGTTTCTCAACTCTTGAAATATATCCTGTCTATATGCTGGTAGTTTCATTTGTGGTTATCACCTACTCTGTTTGCAGCAGAGTACATTTAGTCGTGACATGGTCAGGTAAACTCATGATCAACACTTTCTAGTCATAAAATCTCTTCATCCGTCCTTCTTACTGGCTTCAACCTTGTAAGTACTTGCATGTAGGGTAAACTGCACGTAAAGTTGGATTTACCAAAGGTAGTAAACTCAGGTAATGTTTACTTTGTATATAACATCTGGCTTTACAATTGTAGTAAATAAAAGTCATTTCATTTACAACCCTTGTTAAGTCCGGAATTACCGTACTTGACTTTTATTTACTACCATTGTAAAATCTAGTAGTGTTTATTAAAAGAACAAAGTAAACATTACCGAACGTTACTGGTATTTACTGCCATTGGTAAATCTAGTTTTTCGTGCAGTGGTAAGTGCACGTTCCTTCTGTGCTGGTAAAAGTGCCCGTGAATTATGTCCCCACGTACTGGACTAGAAGCAAACTGTGAGACGACTGAGGAACTGTATAGCAACCTGGCCTCCACGCCCACGCTGAGCCTTCCCGGCTCCACAGAGCACATATTTTTACAGCTTCAACACGATTTGTCGGAAAGGAGAGCAATCTATTTTGGAATTACTCTCATCTCAGATTTTAAGACGGTTGGACTAAGCCTTTATAGCCGAGTGCGTCCAGCATATGAAGGTGTCTACTGAAATATATGTCCAATTACATACCGTGAGGTCGGTCCGGGCAGCTCGTTGGAGTACCTAACAACTTTAAGAACGTTACGAGCAGTTATCATGGTGCTTTGCTTTGGGGACGTACTTAGTGAGTGGGAAAGTTTCCAACAATAACCAAACTTTGGTTTGATATTCACTCTTGAGCTCAACAGTATTTTTCAACCAAAAATGGATGGCGACTTCCACTACATATTAATAGCAACGGTCGCTGCAGGTATACTCAATGTACCGTGTAATTTACTGTGAGTAAGTGACGAGACAACTGCTTCTCATATTCAATTTGACCTGCCGGTTAGTCTGCGGTTTCACCCTTTCCCCCTCACTCCCTGTTACTATACCGTTATCAAATACTACAAACGGACACACAAATAAACGAACAGGCATGCACACCGAAATAAATTTAAACCTCTTTTGAAACGTTTGTACAGACAGTATTGAAGCTGCAACAATACCAAAGTTTGTTGTGCCATGACCGGGCGTCAACCTGTGTTGTCAGCAAGTATAGTTAAGTCAACCCTCAATCACCCTATGGTGAAACATAATTTATCGTACACTATTATGTAATTGATTTATGGGTCATTAAATAGATAGTCAAGTCAATCTTTGGGATGCAGCTTTCTAATCACGATCCATGGGGGGGATTAAGTACAAATTTGAAACCTAATCAGCTTAGTAATTCAATCATGAAATAAATTTCTTCTCAAATTACGTTTAGAATTGCATATCACATTACAACGTAATTTACTTGGAAGGTAGCTATTTGAGATAATTTGTCAATCAAATACTCGTTACTTTCAACCCACAATTGCATTTGCAAATAAGAGTTTCTCCTACCATTATTGTCAACATAATATAATGTGATATATCTGTATTTACAATACTTTGAATAATCATACTTCTTAACATCGCTCTAAAAATATATTTTACTCGATTTTACTCTATATTCTAAGTATTTTGAATTATACTTAAGTTGTTAAAGTAGACCACCGAAGTTATCAGAAGATATGGCCGCGTTCAAGACAACCACTTAACGCGTTACTATAAAAAGACACAATAAAGTTGTGTTCAGTAATTGACCCTCCTAGGAGAAATCCAATAAATGGGATCATGCGAAGAGCTCAATGACATGTAGGTGCCAAAACGAAGGCAAATTATCGGATTGTTCGAGCTGGTCTTAAATCATTTGCAACTTCATAAGCAGCCGCGACAGAACGTTATCGGCGTTTTTATTATGGATGGAATAATGACAAATAAAACATCCACAGGCCAGAAACCCTTCATGTGCAAGATGAGCCACACCACACTGTCCTTGCCACTGTCTCTTCCAAAGGAAATTCTAGATATGCCTTTGGAGACCACTACTTTGTACACACTAACCTCTCACAGTACAAGTCATACTATACATACTTACTGAAGATACCATACACGTAGATACTGTAGATACGACTTGAAAGTACATACTATTAGTCAAATTTGAAACATCATTTCCCAAATCGTCCATGTTAACGTTTACGACCATTATTGCCAGTGACCTTGATGAGTGATGTACCAAGGGTACTGGTAACTGGATCAGCGGTTTCGCAGAACACCTGCGCTTGATGGCTTCACAGTTTTTGGTAAGAGTTTGTGAGAGCTTACTGTAGAATTGCTTCTAGAGCATTATCAAAGTCGCTTCGTGTAGAAGAAGTCCAGGCAAGACGTGAAGGCAGAGCACGTTGGCCAGTGATAGATCGTACTTTCTCCTTCACCTTCTACTTACAAATTATGTTCTTTCATGTGTCAGCGTTTCTTCTCTCCGTGATAGATCGCAGTAGTCACGGAAAACGTGGGAATCGACACGAAGCTTATCATCGTGTAAAGTCATCGTTATTCCATTCTCCTGCGTAGGAAAAGTAATGGGATGAGCGGAGGCGCTGGGTGCTCCTGACAGCGGGGTGCTGATATACCAGCCGCGTGCTGCGCTGATATCCTACCGGCTGGCAGCAACGGCAATCAGTCATCGTACAGCCACCAGGAGTTTTCTTTGTAAATGACATTCTACGGAACGACTTTTGTGAACTTGGGGCCAGTTTTACTGGTCACAGTATGTGACAAGTATACTTTGGCTCGCATACAAGTTGTAAAGTTCTTTTATGCAAAAACGACATCGGTCACCAACTTTTCAATAATGCATGGTTGAACAACTTTTGTGAACTTGGGCCAGTTTTACTGGTCACGGTATGTGACAGGTATACTTTGGCTCGCATACAACTTGTGAAGCTCTTTCATGCAAAAAGACATCTGTCACCAACTTTTCAATAATGCATGGCTGATGCAGTAACCAAAGTCGACAGACTGTATATATACTACCGGCGTGTATAGATAGTCACGGTAGTGTAGTGGCAGCTTGTCTCTTATGACTAGCATGTCCATGTTTTCAGGTTATTGGTTTAAGGATCAGCTTTGAAAACCGTCTGAGACGACACAGTTGTAAATGTATCAGTACATATAACTAAAACCGTGTCATTGTAACGACAGAACGAGTCTTTCTAAAGCTTGTATAGTTACAATGCTGAATTCCCTTGTGGCGCTGAAGTTTCCAAAGGTACGCAGACCTATCTTGAT